AAAGAAAGAAAGAAAGAAAGAAAGAAAGAAAGAAAGAAAGAAAGAAAGAAAGAAAGAAAGAAAGAAAGAAAGAAAGAAAGAAAACCGTGCTAAGATTGAGTTTGGTTTGTTCCTGGCTGAGCCAAAGAAAACCCACATTGGATTGGCCATGTTTTCCTGTTCCTATAGTAAGAACAGCAATAAACTGGACTTGCTTTCCAAGTTTTCCAGCTCTTTCCATGAGGACTAGCCTCTTTCAAACCAAAAGAGAATAATAACTTGGCCTGTTCAAAATCCACTCCTCCCCTCCCCAAACTGAGTCAAAGTAACTTTGGAGGTTTTGAATCAGCAAAATGAGCGAGGTCTCATTTAATTTGTACCCACAAATCACCCCTGACAGTTTAATTATTTGATTTTTTTAAGGGCCGTATACACTTTAGAAGCCATCTCGGAGCGAGCGAATTGAGGATGATCATGATAACTTGATAGGGGGATAAAAACGCCACATCCCGTCTGAACATCTGGCTGACTGGGAGACCAACCCTAATAATATAATAGAGTTTAAAACCAAAGAGTTACAAGGAAAGGCCCATCCGTCTGCTCAGTCTTAGTGGGTCGTGGGGCCTTTATTTTAAAAAAGCAAATTGCATCCCCATCGATTGCTCTGAACCCATTGAGCCTTGCAGACAGGGGGGAAAACGTGGAAACTAGTTCGAAGCTGGCATAATTGTATTAAAAAGCAGACCGGCTCCTGCTCGCCGCCTTTCTAGGACACTCTTCAAGGTCCGCCCCACGCCAAGGGTTCGGCAGTAGTCCAGCCACCATCAACTCCGAGGGAAACCCTGCGCCAGCCAGAACGAAAAGTGGCTTTTCTGAAATGCTGTCCCAGGTACTGAATTCCCCCCTCGGAGGCACTGAGCCTGGGAAGAAACGGATTTCTTGAGCGTGGAGATGGGTCTAAATGCGAAACGTCGTATTTATTTTATTTATTTGTTGACTTCATTTAAAAGATCAATGGAAACAGGCAACTTTCCAGAGCAAACCACATCGGAAAACCCAGGCTTTGGGGCCCAGCGGAGCACACGGTTTGTCGGCGAACGCCTGTTTTTTGCAGATCATCGTTCTGATCGCTGCATTGCAATCTCGGGAGGGGCTGAGAGTTGAATACCGGAAGGGGCAGGAAAGGATTTGCAATCAGTGAATATGTCCATTTTCACCTAAGTTGGGGGGGGGGTGTCACAAAGTTGGGAATTGCTCCATCATTTGTCCAGTGCCCTGGATTTGCCCGGCGGACCCCCCCCCCCCAAAAAACGTGCATGAGGAACAGGTCTTCCAATACCCCGATCAATGAAGCACCAGCTGAGGTTCACCCTGACCCAGCTTTGCCAGTTGCAAACCGCAAGACTGCAAAAATTGCAAATTGCAAAAATTGCAAATTGCAAATATTGCAAATTGCAAACTGCAAAATACAAGCTTCAGCTGCAGGGCCTTTCGCCGACCTGGGGGTTGTGAGAACGTGGTTGTTTTTCTCGCTGCCACGTGTGGAAGTGTCAGAGCATTTGGGGATAACCCCCGGGGACAGGAGACCCCCCCCCAGCTTAGCAGGTGAGAGAGAATGCAAAGGGGCTGCAATAGGTCCCCAGCTTTACGTGGTGGGTAGACCCCCCTTACCCATCTCTTCCAGCTTGCCCCCCCCCCTTTATTCTTTCAGCTCTTAAAAGCCCCGGTAGTTACCCGGGTTTGGGGGGGGAGAAGTTGCCCCCTTCTTTTCCGCCTTCCTGGACCCATTCATGGTGTCACTTACACAAGCCGATGGCCCTATTATCCGCGCACAATGGGGCACCCGGCCCCTGCCCTCACTTTATGGCGAGGGGAGGGGGGAGCTGGGAAGACAATAGCGAAAGAGGGGAGGGAGAAGAAGAGCCTGTTTTACTTGCAACCCAAAATTGCAAAGAGGGGGGGAAGAGAGGTGGCGAAGAACGAGGTGCAAGTGAGCCAACTCCTGCTTTTAAGCCCGCAGACCGAGTTTGTCCTGGAAGGTCTGGATCCCCGCGTGGCTCTGAAATTAGGCAACGGGTTGAATACTCAGAAAAAGTTGCAGCCGTCCGCTGGGCACGGATTTGCACCCGATTTCAACGGCTACGGGGCTGCCTTCAAAATGCCCCCCTTTGGCCATGCAGCTTAGGGCTCCTGTGAGCCCACCACCACCCTTGCAGGTGGGCCACCCCAAAGGGGGTCAAAATGGCCCGGATCTCTGAGGAATTCAGCCGGCACGTTGTTTTGAGTCTCTTTAACCCATCCATCCATCCATCCATCCATCCATCCATCCATCCATCCATCCATCCATCCATTTCTTTAATCCATCCATCGGGTCTCAGACTGGACTCTTTCACTCTCGGCCGCCTTTCTCCATCCCCTTGCATTTTTTTTAAAAAAGGCATTTGGCAGAACTGCTGTTCTATAAAGTAAAATAAAATATAAAATGAAATGAAAATAATAAAAATAATAAAATAACATGTGATATATGGTAAGGTTTCTCCAGCCCTTTGCATTTTTAAAAAAAAAGACCCTTGGCACAATTGCGGTTCCATAAAATAATAAAATAAATAAGGAGAGAAAGGAAGCCAAGAAGTGAAGAACGGGGTCCGCCTTATCGGCCTCAAGAAGGACAAGAGCCCGGCTGACAAAGTCTTTTTATTGGATCAAAAGTATCCCAAAATACAATAAAAATACCAAATTTTCACCACCACCACCACCACCCCAGCTTCGAAACAGACAGTACGGCTGATTTACAGGCCCTGATTTCCCCCCAAGCTGCCCTGGCAAGATAGATTTATCTGGCCTGCCAAGCAAGACTGTAAGAGAAAACTCGCCTTGTGAGGTAGGCTGCTGATGGCTTAGGGGGAGAAAACAGGGGTTGCTTCAGGTCCCAGGGTGCAAAAACACTGGACGCATCAGCCAGATCCCTTTACTGACTTTTGCATAGCTATTAAGAGAAAATAAATCACAGAAAAGAAATCTACACTCCGAATTATCTACTGGATTTCGTATGGATCCATGGCTGGCTGGGGAATTCTGGGAGTTGAAGTCCACCCATCTTCAAGTCGCCAAGGTTGAGAAACACTGCCTCAGCTTAAGACTCCTCCCTGGACCTCAGTTTTCCCAGCCTCTAAAATGGAACCAACCTTGAGCCAACAGCTCCAACCATAACTATAATCCGTTCGGTCCCCAAAGCTGATTCTTGGCCACTGAACCTCGGAGAAGATCCAAATCAGGAATTTAATACAGAGAGTAGAATCGAGCGGGTTACGAATGATTTCTCCCAGCTCCAGAGATGCCCTGCTTTAAGGTGTCGAAACGAAATGAATTTAATTTCCAGCATCCAGAGAGAAAACCGCCCAGCCCAGTGGGTGTTTGTGCCCCTTGGGGGCAGACGGGGGCGGGGGGGTCATACAAAAAAGGAAGATGCATAGATTTTATTTATTTATGAAATGTATATGCCGCCCATCTCCCCCAGATGTTAAATGCCTTGCTGCAAAAATAAGATCAGGGAATCCGGTTCCGGGTTGCAAGAAACATCACAAGGCGAGTGCCCGGCGGGTGAAAAGTGGCTGCGTAACAAGGAAGAGACACCGTCAGAGGAGACGGGGGGGGGGGCAAGAATGGAGGTAAAGGAGTTGGGAAGGGGGTAACATGCCAGGCCAAGGGGTGGGCAATTTGGGCACAATGCTGCCCCCCAACCCCGCGAGCCTCCGGTGCCGCAGAGGCGTGATTGTGCACGGGGAATTGAGCGTGTCTTATAACCGGACCTCTCCCGCGACAATCCTCTTCCAGACGGCGGGGGTCAGAGGGATGTAGGTCTTAGCGGCCACGTCCAGGAAGAAGAGGGGGTCCGAGATCTGGGTGGGGTTAAACCCTTCGGCCACGAGGCGAAACCTCTTCCGCTTGAAGGTCTCGGTCATTTCCAGCTGACCCTGAGCAGGAGAGAAGTCAGTCCGTGAGCGGCGGTGGCAGCCAAGGTTCTTCGAACCCCGCCCTGGCCTCCCTCGCAGGGGCATTGTGAGACTCCAAGAAGACTCTTACATCCTTCGAGGAGCAACAAAATCGAGCGGGGTCCTACCTGTATGCGCAGGAAGCGAGGCCAGGCGAAGGGCGGAAGGCGCTCGGCCACGTGATGGTAGACGTGGGCGCCATCGAAGTCTCGCCCCGGCTGCAGCACCACCGTGGCCATGCCAGCTCGGCCTTCGTGCCCTGGAAGAGGACCACCAAGAGGGGCAACATCTTTGTATCGAGCCCCTCCAGGGCCAAAATCAGGAAGGGAAAAGCTCCCAGCGGGAAGGAAATCCCACGAACCGACGAAAGAAAAGTCCAGAAATGTGAGATGAACGGTTAAGATGAACGCCCGCTCATGGCCTGGGTGAAGTGTGTATTATTCGCCCCTCGAGGGGTAGAAAAAAAGGGGGGGGATCTTTTCCCCCATCATGAAGGCGATTCTTCCCCCCCCCAAAATGACCCAGAAAACTCCTGGAAAATACTTATAAACCCGAACGAACCCCAGAAATGACGAATGACGCATTTTCTTGGAAAAAAACAAGGACCGACCTGGAAAAGGGGCAAATCTGAAAGAGGTCCATTACGATTAAAACACCCCCCAAAACTCGTTCCTGTTTATAACTTGGCTTGCCAAGGGAAAACTCAAGAGCAGACCCAAGCGTGAAATAAATCGAGAGGACGGCTTTCTGAAATAAAGGCTTGGTTTCCTAAAGGAGGTGTGGCCGCTGGGCTAATAACCAATCCTGATTAATAAGTCAATAAGCAATGTTAATTAATTAATACGCATTGTGAATAGGAGTTATCTATTAGCAGCCCTCAAATATGTTCCATCGAAGAATGCAAGAAAACGTTCGCAGAACTGGAAAACGACGCCGACAACTGGACTGGGATTCAGAGATGCGTCTTTTCCCGCCCACCTGACTTCCGACGTCCCTTTTAGCGGCTTACCTGGGACCGCCACGCCGTAAACCGTGACTTCCCGCAGACCGTCCAGCGTGCTCAGAATCTCACCGACTTCCGTCGTGGCAACGTTTTCACCTTTCCAACTACGGAAGAGGATGGTGGGAGGTCAGGAAAAACTTTTTTTTGCAACACCGGGACGGAAAAATTTGCCAAAACAGTCTCAGCTCTGAGGGCTGTTTGGGGCTGTTTGTAGGTTTTTCTCTGGTTTCGTACGCCACCCAGAGTCTGCTGGAGTGGGGTGGCCAATCAATTTCAATCCATGGATGGAGAGTTTACGGCTCGCCCCCCCTTTTCTGAAGCAAGAATTAAATCACAGCAAATCCCTGGGAAACTTTCTTTAGCGAAGGGCGCCCTCGTGTGGTCAGGGTGGACCATGACATGTGAAATGTGGATCAAAAGCGGGACAAGGATGACGTTTCGGCGGGATGTTTTTCTGGAAAAAAACATCTTGTGCCCTCCCTAGGCACCAGATCGCAAAGCCCATCATCCCTGCCCAGCAAGGGATCCTACCGTCGGAAGTCTGACCCATCTTCCAGATGCTGAACTTCCCAATTTCCAATTCAGTAGCTTAATTCTAGTATATTAACGAGATGGGTAACAAATGTGAAGAAAGAAAGAAAGAAAGAAAGAAAGAAAGAAAGAAAGAAAGAAAGAAAGAAA